ATCTACCTTATGCTCCATTTCTTTGTATTCCCTTTTTTATATCATCATACATTTATATATTCTTATATGTCCTATCAATATCCTATAAACTTACTCATATTCTCATATATCATATTTCAATATAATTTGTATAGTAATAATCTATAATTGTATCATATAATGATTTTACCCAAGTACTCCTTTATAAAGTTTATATTACATGTTCAATTAGTCTCATGCTATCTTATAAATAATTTCCACTTATTTTATATCATTTTCCTTTTCCACTCACATAAACCATCTATTTATTTAGTTCAATTTCTCATGACTTCCACAATACTCTTTAATAAAACTTTGTAGCTCTTCATTATAATACATAAACCATAGTTTCCTTTAATTTATCAATCTTCCCTATATAACTTATGTATCCTTATTTATGCCCTCGAATTCATACTATTCTCTTAGAGTCTCCTAACATTTCTCGTATAATCACTTATACCATATCATATAACTTATACTTGATTATCTTATTCTCTCATGTTCATTTCATTTCTTATGACTCTATCCTATAACTTATTCCATGTTCTTCCATTATTACATAATAAAGTCTTACATAAATCATATAGCATATACAAAGCATATCATTATCTTTCGTCATGCATACATACAATCAATGTAATACAGATAATCACATATAATTATAACCACACATAATTATGTCCATGACTTCATGCATATTACTCTAGGAAATAGACTCATCGCAAGTCTTATTTCCATTAAACACTACATATCACTAGTATGCACTCACCTTGGCCTCACTAGTCAATTCCAATCTCTTATCTTTCCCTTGATCGATCTTACTTGCCAAATGTTTCGGAATTGCTTTATGCGCAGAATCTACATAAATGTACATTTTGAGGCAATCATTAGATACCTACACCTTGTAGTTAGATACTAGCAACTTAAACGAACTTATTAAACCAATATTCACATTTTTTCTTTAGGGGGTATCGATTCCCTACTGGGGGTATCGATACCCTCATGACATTCTGGAGCTCAGTCGTTTCAGAGGGTATCGGTACCCCTTTGAATGGGTACTGATTCCCCCTAACTCAGAAATCATTTTTCAGCACGAAAATTACTTTATTTCCTCTCAAACACTTCATATACCATCCCCTTTCTTATTCTTAACTTACATATACATGCTTAAACTCATTACTACTCATTCAATACATCTTTAACTTCAAAATCTAATTCTCTACATAGAATTCAAGAATCACACTAATTTTTCTTCTTGTTCTAAATTCAATTTCATCACTTAATATCTCTTAATTCAACCATTGACAAGTCAAATTTATCTTCCAATTTGAGTAAAGAACTCTGTTCCAGAATTTCATTCAAAAACTCTTAATCTTTAATCTCTCCTAATTCCACCATCCTTTGTTTTTAAGATGATTTAAGCTTTCCTTAAGCTTAATTATCATCCAATAATCATAACCAAACCTTTAGTTGAACAAATAATCAACTAATGAAGAAACTTACCTTTGCTTATGGCTTCACGGTGGAAAAGAAGAGAATGAATAAGAGAAGTCTGGAACTCTCTCATATTTCCCACGTTTATAATACTCAAAAAGGAAGATAAAAAAAATCTTTCCTATGAAAAGACCATTTTGCCCCTTTAGTTCATCCATCTTTGCTATTTAATCCAATATTAAAATTCTTTACTTAAATCCCAAGACTTTTAAATTTCATTTCTAAATTAAACACAACTTTTAAAATTTGCAATTTAGTCACTGACCCTGATTTGGGATGTTACAGAAGAATTCAAGAAAAATATTTGGTATCTTGATAATTATGCCAGTAACCATATGTGTGGACAAAAGGAACTGTTTGTGAAATTAGATGAAACAGTCCATGGGCGAGTAACTTTCGGAGATGACTCGCACGTAGAACTAAAAGGAAAAGGCGAAGTCATGATTACTAAGAAAAATGAAGAAAAGAAATACATTTCAGATGTTTATTATGTACCTGCTTTGAAAAGCAATATCATCAGTCTCGATCAACTCCTGAAAAAATGATATGAAGTGCAGATGAAGAATCACTCGCTTACCATCAAAAATAAAGAAGGAGAATTGATAGCTCAAGCTGATATGACTCGAAATCGTCTCTTTACAATTGATATCGAGTCGGGAGAAGTCAAGTGCATGAAGACTGTGATCAAAGATGATTCATGGCTATGGCATCTAAGATATGGACATCTTGGATTTTCTGGTTTGAAGTTGTTATAAAAAACAAGCATGGTGAAAGGACTACCAGAGATCAACCCTCCAAATCAATTCTACGAGGCTTGCATAAAAGGAAAACAACATAGACAAAGCTTTGAAGTTGGTAGATCCTGGCGTGCCCGAAGACCGCTGGAGATAGTACACACAGATATATCCGATCCTTTTGATATACCATCGCTTGGCGATAACAAGTACTATCTAAATTTTATTGATGATTTTAGTAGAAAATGTTGGATTTATATCTTGAAAGAAAAGTCAGAAGCGCTGGAAAAATTGAAAGAATTTAAAGCAATGGCGGAAAAACAAAGCGGCCAATATTTGAAGATACTCAGATCAGATAGAGGAGGTGAATATATATCAAAGTTATTTGAAGAATTCTGTAAAGAGTATGTCATCATCCATCAGCTGATAGTCAGATACACGCCACAACAAAATGGAGTTACAGAAAGAAAGAACCGCACAATTCTTGACATGGCGAGAAGCATGATAAAAGGTAAACATCTACCAAGAAATTTATGGGCAGAAGCAGTTTGATGTGCAGTTTACCTATTGAATCGATGTCCAACAAAAAATGTGAAGTATATGACTTCAAACAAAGCATGGAGTGGACAGAAACCAGGAGTTGGACACCTGTTGGATGCATCGCATATGCCCACGTTTCTGAATAGACCAGAAAGAAGCTTGATGATAGAGGAGAAAAATGTATTTTCATTGGCTATGATGAAAGAAGAAAAGCTTACAGATTATATAATCCTTTTACCAAGAAAGTAATAATTTTAAGAGATGTCGAGTTTAATGAAGCAGAATATTGGAGATGGAGCAAAGAGGAAAAGAAAGTTGAAGGACTATTTTTTAATGAAGATAAAGATGACGATCTTATCAATCAAGATGAACAAGCTGATGATCAAGGTCCTCAACAAAATGTACCATCATCGTCAAGAAGCAGCAACATTGCTAGTAACATAATAAAAGATTCTGAAGCACCTCCCACAGAAGTTCGAAGATCCACAAGAGAGAGAAGAATACCAGAAAGGTACAACGATTATGAATTAAATAATGTTTCATTATTCAGTCTCTTTGCAAAGAGTGATCTCATAACAAATGAAGAATTGATTGGAGATGAAAAACTTAGAAAAGCTTAGAATGGAAAGTCGAGTTTGAGGGGGAGTGTTGAAAGTTAAACTCAGCATTCATGGCTTGGTGCATCGCATATGCCCTCGTTTATGAACATACCAGAAAGAAGCTTGATAACAGAGGAGAAAAATATATTTTCATTGGCTATGATGAAAGAAGAAAAGCTTACAGATTATATAATCCTATTACCAAGAAAGTAATAATTTCAAGAGATGTCGAGTTTGATGAAGCAGAATATTGGAGATGGAGCAAAGAGGAAAAGAAAGTTGAAGGACTATTTTTTAATGAAGATAAAGATGACGATCTTATCAATCAAGATGAACAAGCTGATGATCAAGGTCCTCAGCAAAATGTACCATCGTCTTCAAGCAGCATCAACATTGCTAGCAACATAATAGAAGATTCTGAAGCACCTCCCACAAAAGTTCGAAGATCCACAAGAGAGAGAAGAATACCAGAAAGGTACAACGATTATGAATTAAATAATGTTTTACTATTTAGTCTCTTTGCAAAGAGTGATCCCATAACAAATGAAGAATCGATTGGAGATGACAAACTTAGAAAAGCTTAGAATGGAAAGTCGAGTTTGAGGGGAGTGTTGAAAGTTAAACTCAACATTCATGGAATTGTGTAAAAAGCTTAGGTGGTCTCACAAAAAAATTATAAAATTGCAACAATGATGAAGTTACAATATACTTAATTATTAAGCAAAGTTCAAGGCGACACGTGGACATGGACTATCCACTTAGAGAATTAAAATTAAGGCAACGTCGATAGCAAAGCTTACAAGTGGTACTTATGATTTGATTAATTATTAAGAAGTTATAAGGCGACAAGTTTTAGGCGGTTTTAATACACTATATATATATGTGCTTGTTAGTTTTTAGAGTAATACAATGTAAGGAAAAAATATGAGTGAAAGCTAAAGAGAATTTGAGAGAACTTAGTAAAGCTTAGAATAACGAGGTTAACTAGACGTAACTAGTGTTGTAATATTAGGATAACGTCGTTGTAACGTATTTTGTTTCGTATCAATAAAAGTTAGAGAGTTATAAATTATCGAATGTCCATCTACTCTTCCAACAAAAATAAAGCAAAGCTGATGTATAAAAACCCGGATGATAAAATAGATCCCACGTAGAAAATAGATACATCATGTCAAGGATAATTAACATGTATTTAATTTCTTTATAATTTATTTTAAATTATATATAAAAAAACTAAAAATGGATGATAAAAATTAGTTTTATCAAAATAGGAAAAAATGCATTGGTTTGACGTGTAAAAGGATTAACCACTAGTAATGGTTGTTTTTAGCCTGTATTTCTGGCGTTGATTATAAATTAACACACCTCCACCTTTCGCTGTTTGTTTCTGGTTAGTCAGGGTAAGTTCTTTTCGGTACATTTCTTTTCAGTTTTTAGGAATGAAATTTGTTAATTAGCTTTCTATTAATCTATGCCTAATAAATGGTTTTTCTTCTTCCATGAATTAAGCGGCAGACCCTCTGTTTTAGCTCTTCGCTCTGAGAATTCTGAGATTGCTGGGATTCGAGTTGAATGAATGTATAAACGATAACCTGAGAAGCCTGGCTTAGTTCCTTCATTTAATTTCCCTTTTTTTTTCTTTGTTTATTGCAGAAACAATCGGCATTCAGATCAACTTGGATTAGCTCAACCTCCTTTCCCGTGAGCTTTCATTTAAATTTGTTAATTTGATTTGTTTATTTCTTTTTATTTTATTTTAGGTTTAAATATGCCGGTGGTCTCTGTACTGAAATTTAAAATTCTGTCTCTTTACCTTTTTTTTTTTCAATAACCGAGCCCCTCTACTGTTTTTGATTTGATAATCTTGATCCCTCCCTTTAACTTATGTTCAAATTCAGTATTAAATGCCGACATGGAGCCTATAAAAAGTTAAAACGACTTTTTTAGTTCTTTACATTTATACTTTTTATCAGTTTGACCCTTAAAAAGCTGTATACATAGATGATTGGAAAATTATATTGTTCAATTAATGATGTTTTCTTATTTACTTTGAAAGATTAATGGTCAAATTGATGAAAATTGTGAACGCAACGGGCTAAAAGTTATTTTTGGTTTGAATTTTATTGTAATTCTAGTTGTTGAAGATTACTTGATAATTAAGTTTATTTTCGAATTAAATATTAATTTTAGACTGAAAATCTTATAGAATTAGGTTCCTTGATGACCAAGTATTAGGTCTTACGGAATTAGATTTATTGATTAAGTTTATTATTCTTCTCATCCTTGGAGGTTAGGTAGGAAAGGTTTCACCGGGTTAAATCTCGTATCTTGCGCATGTATGTTAATGTTGCGTTGATTTGTTTTTCACTTCGAATTCCTAACAAGAATTTGCAGGGCTGAGCTTAGAATGTGGTTCTGGTTTTGTTGTTTGAAGAGAGATGACCATATGGGATAGAAATCTATTTCCATTTATTTTAAGTTTGGATGAAATTACCAGAAAAGGGGATTTTACATGAAATTAAATTTATCGGGCTTGTTTACTCTTGCATTTCTGATTTTTTAGTCAAAACTTGTTTTCAACCTGTCATATGTGCTATAAATTGTAGAACATAGACGGTGCTTAGATTGAGGATCTACTATTGAAGAATACATTGGCAGACACTAACTGGTTTGTTGAAATTTTGGATGTTTGCTAAACATATTATTTCAGGTTTTCATTTTAACATTTTTGTCACTGACAAAATACAAATTCTGGAATTAGATGGACTAAGCAATGATTTCTAGTGAGCTTCTTTTACCTTTCCCTTACATGGCTTCTATTTTGTTGGTTTCAGACACCTTGGCCAGACTCCTTGCCGTTTTCACATATGCAGGTTGCAAAATCTGATGACCCAATTATAGGACAAGTAGACCATATAATAGATACTGCATCTTTAGCTTCATCAGTGGTCACTGATCAACCTGAGATTGATCATCAGGGTACGCTGATGGAAGGTTCTAGGTGTGGGGGAGTACATGACAGTCCAGATGAGCATCCATCTAAATATACTAGTTCTGTTTCACATAGTCATAATGAGGACACAATTGTTCCTCCGCCTTCTAACCCGAAGGTTGGATATTCCGATATTGACCATGTAGCATCAGCCAGTGAGCTTTCTTTACTCCCCATAGATGTCACCACAGTTGCTGTTGGAGCTATACATGGTTTTGCTGATGGTCAGCAACCTCAACAAGCTGATACAATTGTTGGTTCTTCTGTTGCCAACGGTGACAATGGCATGATTTTGTCTTCTGCTTCCTCCCATGATGTTGGATCTTCCCAAGATGCTGCTGATGGACAAAAATCTGAAAATGCCCATTTTGCTTCCATTGATTCCAAAAGTAATAACCAGATAACATCACCCAATGATTCTACTCAACCCCATCTTGTTGCCCCCAGTTCTGTTGATGGATCCGTCAAAGATACATTGGATGAACAACAGACTCAAGGTGCTGATTCTCTTGGTGGCATTACTTCATCCTCTTCCAAGATCAATGACTCTAAGGCAGAATATGATAAAAAGGGGAACGTAGACCATGCCAGTCATTTTGTTCTGCCTCGTAAAAAGATGATCACTTCTATGGTTAAATACCCAAATTCCGGTAGCCCTGCTCTGACAAAAGGAGGTGTTTTGAATAAAGGTCATATTGATACAGCATCACCTTTTGATTCTGTTAAAGAAGCAGGTTCCAAGTTTGGAGGAATGGTTAGATGGAAATCTTGTAGAACACAAAATCCAGAGGTATATTAGATATATTTATAGTGGTGTGAATGTTAATATAATCTATGCTACAGCAATATATTTTTGGCATGTATAGTGAATGCTGTTTATCATCAATTTTGTTCTCCGTCTTTTTTAACTATTAATGACCATTAAACATAATTCTTTCTTTTTTCTCTGCCTAATTCATTCATATTTGCTAAATGTAACTTGAAAATTTTTTTGGCCATAGAGGCGCAGGTGTGCGGGCCAAGACCTTGAGAAACTACAGGAGCAGATGATTGCATATAAGAGACGGTCGGTGGATGCTGAAGAGGCAAAAATTCGAGTATTAATGGAGCTGGACAGCACAAATAAACAAATAAGTGAGTTGAAGCTAAGCCTGGAGAGGGCACAAACTGAAGAGAATCAGGCAAAACAAGACTCTGAACTTGCCATGCTCAGGGCGGAGGAGATGGAACAAGGGATTTGCAATGAGGTTAGTGTTGCAGCAAAGGAACAACTTGAGGTTGCTAAAGCCAGGCATGCTGCTGCTGTTGAAGAGCTGAAATCTATTAACGAAGAGATGGAAACATTACGAAAGGAATATGCTTCAATGGTGACTGAGCGAGATACGGCTGTTAAGAAAGCTGAAGAAGCTGTTTCTGCTTCGAAAGAGGTTGAGAGGAGAGTGGAAGAATTGACTATTGAGCTGATGGCCACAAAGGAGTCCCTGGAGTCTGCAAATGCTGCCCATATGGTGGCAGAAGAGAAAAGGATTGGAGCAGCTGTGGGCCGAGACCAAGATACTCTTCATTGGGAGAAGGATCTAAAACAGACTGAAGAGGAGCTCAAGAAAGTCGTTCAGCAAATCGAATTGGAAAAGTATCTGAAACCAAAGCTAGACACTGCTTCAATACTTCTGCATGATTTGAAATCTGAATTAACTGCTTATAGGGAGTCTAAGTTCAATTTGGAAAATAATGGACACTCCACTGATGTGTCAGACACACCAGAAAAAAGAACTCTCACTAAGCTACCATTTGTGGTTGCCTCGGCAAAGCAGGAACTTGAAGAGGTGAAGCTCAAAATAGAAAAAACAACTGCAGAAGTGGATTCTTTGAAAGTGCTTGCTGTTTCATTAAAATCAGAGCTTCAAAAGGAAGAGTCCTCTCTTGCCACCATTAAGCAAACAGAAGGCATGCCGCTTGTTGTCGCTTCTCCAAAAGATGACACGGATAACACTGAGTCAAGACTAGACTCAGTGCAGATGAATGAAAAAGAGGGCAGAGATAAAATGGTGGAGGTGCCAAAAAAATTGCAGCAGGCAACTCAAGAGGCTCTCGAGGCCAAGTCACTTGCTCAAACGGCTCATGAAGAACTGAGAAAAGTAAAGGAAGAGGCTGAGCAAGCAAAGGCTAGAGCAAGTACCATGGAGAGTAGATTACTTGCAGTTCAAAAGGAGATAGAGGCAGCTGAGGCTTCAAAGAAGTTAGCTTTAGATGCTACTAAAGCATTGCAAGGTCATGAATCAGCTCAAAGAACCGATAATGTCGATTCGCCAGATGGTTTAGTTCTTTGCTTAGAGGAGTACTATGACCTCAGTAAATGTGCATATGAGGCGGAGGAACAGGCCAACATGAAGCTGGCAGCTCTCATTTCTCAAGTTGAGGTAGCTAAGAGATCCCAGTCCAGTAGCTTGGAGAAGTTGGCGGAAGTAAATCGAGAGATGGCTGAAAGAAAGGAACAACTAAAAATTGCTTTGGAGAAGGCTGAGAAGGCCAAGGAAGGGAAGCTAGGCTTAGAGCATGAATTGAGACAATGGAGGGCTGAACATGAGCAGCGGCGAAAGGCTACTGAATTGAGTCATGGAGGAAAGCCTACAAGAACAAGTTTTGAGGGGACGCAACAAACGAAGAAAGGTGTAGCTGTACCTTCTTCTCCTTGCAGCACTCTAGATAGCTCAAAGGCAGTCAATGGAAGTAGCACGGAATCTGAATCATCTCCGGAAGCAGCGCTCTTTAAGAAGAAAAAGCAACTGTTCCCCAAGATAGCCATGTTTTTTAACAGAAAAAAGTTGAGCCTATTAAAATCCAAGTCCAAGTTCAAGTTCAAGTCCAAGTCCAAGTCCAAGTCCAGAACCTAATAAGTATGTCGATGAAATGCTGCGTTATATTTGCCATTGTGATTTCACCTCAAGTTCTTTTTTCTGGGTTGTCTCAGTGGCTATTAGTATTCGACTAAGATTTTCCAGATAATCTCAGAGTGTAAATTTTGTGTGTTCTTTGATGTATGATGAAGTTGAGAATACACTTTTGGTTACGGGGAAGGGTTATATGGCTAGAGGATCTGAAGAAATAAAAGATGATTAAGTTCTGTATAGGCTTTGATTTACTGGGATGTCAAGTCTTGTAAAATTGATGTTTATAATGAATGAAAAGAACTTGGTCATCTTTCCCGCATGTACACAAAGTAAAGAAGTAATTACAGAAGCATTGTTGACAATACCAGCTTTAATAGCAAAACAATGGATGGTTTCATGGGCTGGCATTAGCACAGATAGAAGGCACAGGCAGCTGTTAAATAATTTGCTTCCACAGCTTGTGCTCTCATTTTCTATATTAAAATCATCTCTTCATCAAACAAGCCATTTTTTCCATAAGCAACAATCATGGTATTCCAAGAAACTACATATTTTTCTACCGTTTCTTCAAATACAAGTTTACATACAAGAAGACCGGTTCGTATGTATGCAAGTTGAATAATACCGGATTTAAACAAAGGGTAAACTACATGGGATATCACTGAACACACCATGTATCGTTTAAACCATTGATCCTTCGATTACTTTAGTTATAGCATTGAACTTTGGTTTTTTCTTCAATTATAATATTCGACCATTAAGTTTGAACGGCACGATGATGAGGCCAAATCTTTCTGTCACTTTGACGATACAAACAAAATGACGTCGTTTTGGCATGGTTATTCATGCTGAAAACAATACTATTATAGACACTAAACTTTAAGAGTGTATCGGTTTTATCATTAACTTTAAAAAGTTCAATTTTAGGCACTGAATTTTCTTGGTCGCCAGTGACAGTTAATTGCCGCCTGTCACAAATTGACATTCGCCACAAGATGGATTTCAAAATATTTACATTTCACTTATCTTTCTTCTCATCGAATTGGTTTTCCATGAAATTTACTCAAAATTAAAAGAAAATCTATCTAAAGGTTAGACATGCTAACACTTTGATGTCATCCAATAAGACTAGTTATGTTGATTGTCATCTCAAACTTATGCTTCTAACCGTTCTAACTTTTGAACAAACACTTCAACCCCTCAAGTTTGAGAAAGTCTTCAAACCTAAAAAAAGGTAGGGTTTTTTGTTTAATTTCATCGATTTTTAGTGAATTTATTGAAAAACTAATCCTAGGAAAAGAAAGAGTAAAATACGAACGTTTTAATATAGATCTTGTTGCGAATGACGACCGGTGAAGGGTGATGATTCATTGTCAGTGGAGACAAAAAAGTTCAACGTGAATGGTTTAAAAATTTAATGATAAATCAATACACCCCTAAAATTTAATATCTAGAATAACGTTATTTTGAATATCGTAACCACATCAAAATGATGTGGTTTTACTGGCATCATCATACCGTTCAGATTTTAACGGCTCATTGTCATAATTGAAGCCAAAATAAAAACTCAAAATCAAGGAAGCTCTCATATGCGGGGAGTCTGCAGCTCATCCAAATTGTTCTTCATAGCATCCATAATTACAAGCTTATCAAGGGTGTTCGGGTTAGCTGGACTGCCATCTGCAGCCCAAAATCGGAGGGTGGATCGGGGTTTAAGGACCTTCTCTGATGGAGCCAGGCTTGCTTCCTCTTATTGATCAGGAAGATTCTTTTGAAGGATGGTTCGATTTGGATTGCATGGATCTAGTAGTATGTTCTCAAAAGAGATTCCTTTTGGCAGGTTGAGGATCCCCAAGGGTGTAGTTGGGTGTGGAGATGTTTGTTGCGCCTCAGAAGCAAGGCTGCTAGCATCCAGGGGATGTTAGGCTCAGCCTTCTCTTCGGTTGGCCATATTTTGGGAGAGATTAGGTTGAAGAAGGACAAGGTCTCTTGGGAGAGATTAGTGTGACACCCTGCTCATATTCCAAAGAATTCGACTATAGCATGGATGACGGTGTTAGATCGGCTTCCAAATAAAAGTAGACTAATTGAGTTTGGGTTGCAGGTCGACGGTTTATGCATCCTTTGCAGACATGAGATGGAGACCCGAGATCATTTATTCTTCCAGTGTGATTTCTCTAAGAAGGTTTGGGAGAAGGTCCTACGTCTGTGCCACTTGAATAGGAGTGTCATGTGCTGGGAGCTGAAACTTGCTTGGGCTTGCAGGTTGAGGGGTAAGCCCTTGATGTCTCTTTGTGTTGAAGTTGGTTTGGAATGGTTTCATCTTGTTAATATGGAAGAAACAATGACCAAATGAATTACAAGTTCACACTCTGCCAGAATTTAACTTAGTTGTAAAAAGATACAACAAATGGCCAATCTTTACAACATAATCTAAATGACAATTTGTTTCTTTTTGTTCAATTATTTTTTCAATTTGGTCACTTCTTCTCCCACACTGCATAGTTATTCCCAGAGGTGGCGAGCTGGTAGTTGGAAGGAACAAGGTTTCCAAGATCCATCTTTGGTCCAATCTTCATTATGATTTTATCATCAATGGCTGCCATATAAAGTTCAGACTCCGAAGCCAGAATATTAGCTGTGCTTGTGCTTTGAATCTCATTCCTGTTCCTGATTTCCACCAGTTTATTGATCTCGTCTTCGAACCCCCAATCGAAAAAGTGATCATAAAACTGGAGTGCGAGAAAACAGAAGAATCTGTTGTCAGTGAAATAAAATGACCCTGAGACGAAAATGGAAAAGTGCAAAGTGTGTGAACTTACTATGGAGGGGATGCCGGGATGGGTTAGAATATAAGCATATCCTTGCATTATTTTATCAGCTGGAAACGGCCATTGGTTTTGTGTGGATCCAGTGTCGTGGTTGTCTATGAAAGTTACTGCATTTTGGGGTAAGAGTCCAATCAGTCCAGGAGGTTTCCCATTGGAGTCCTTCAGTCTCCATAACTTCCCTTGCACAGCATCGTTCAGAATCCCTTTTGTGGTGAAATCGAATGCCGTCACGACGCCTCCGGAGGCTTCGATCCAATCTTTCAAGTCGGCACGATGTGAATCTTCTTGTCCGTCGTTTAACTGTTCCCATTTCTCTCCGACCGCAAAGTCCGGTGAAGTTCGGTCCATGTAGATTTTGGTTATGTTTGGGGCATACCCTTTTACGAAATCAAAACGCCATCCATCAAATCCAATTTCAGTCCTTAACCAATTCAACCAATCGGATAACTCGTTCTGTACCCTCGTATTGAGATGATCGGTATCCGGGGCAGGTTCATAGGGCATTCCGCTGTCGAGATTCCCTGTGCCATCGGAATAGGCCGTATCATCTCGGCAAATGAAAGATGGTCCCCAATCTAGACGATCATCAGAAGTTCCACCTTCGAAAATGCAGTATATACCCCTGCTATCTTGCCTCTCGGCTGTTCTATGATTTATCACAATGTCAGCAACGCATTTGACTCCCTTTTGATGGAAAGAATCGATCAACGACTTCAATTCGGCCTCAGATCCATACACTGATGCATCGAGATCATATAGCCTTCCCGGCAGGTATCCTGAGCATATTCATATACAGTCAAAAGATTGCTAATTCAACACAATTTAACAAACACAAAGCCTGCAGCATTCATGGAAATCATTCACATCAGTTAACACACACACACACATATATATAGTAGGGGTGTAATCGAGCCGAGTCGATTCAGAATAGTGGCAAGTCTGAGCCTCATCAAGCATAATCCAAAACTGGGGATTCAATACGCGACTCGAGTTCCATCAAACATCAATTGAGCTCGAGCTCGATTAAACTCGTTTACCAATTTTTGTACTAAAGCTTGAACTTGATTAAGCTAGTTCAATTTTCGTACCCTGGGGACTAACTGAATGGGAGGGTGGTGGGAGCCAAACGTGAGTAACGCCGGCGTTGGCTATATCGGAAACGGAGTTCCGGAGAAAGTTGTACCATCCAGCCTTTTTGGATGATTCCCAGTTGAAACCCTGGAAAAAAAATCCAAATTCAAAGACCCAAACATAAAAATCATGTTTTTAACATACATTCATACCCTAATAAGAGAGAGAAAGAGAGTACCTGGAACAATAAGGTGGAGGTGGCAAAAGGGGAGAAGAAAACGAAGAAAACGAAGAAGACGAAGATGAAGCAAAGTAAATTGAACATATTTACCTTTAGTTTTGTTTTGTGTGTCCTTGGGGCACAGAGCAGCTGAGGGTTTTAAACTATCTCTTGTGTGTGTCTTCGCCAGCTTATTTTTGGATTTTTTAGCCATTAACGCGTAATTGATGCTTTACGGAGTTGGGAAATTATTGGCTGGAGGAAGATGAATATCAACTTTTTGAACTATCAGTTGGTTTTATTTCGGGAAATTTTTAACGTTTCTGCGTGTTGGTTGCTTCGTGGACTTTTAAATTAAAGGTTATATTACAGTATATACTACTTTATTATCAGTATGTTTATTAATTAGTCATTGAATTTTGAAAAGTCACAATTGAGTCTATTAGTCTGTTGTAACAATAAGCTCATGTAATTAAGTCTTGACCGTTTGTAGGAAAATATTTTCAATTATTTTTGGGGTAAATTACACCATAGTTTACTCTTTTATTAATAAGCTTACAAATAGATCATTGTAATTTTAAAAGAAAAATTACAATCAATTTATTCAATTTTACTGCAAATGAGTTATTTAGATTTTGGGCTTCTCAAATATTGGTGATCCATTGGAGAATAGAAACAGTGGTCGAGCTATCATCAGTGAGAGGAAGAACATACCTCAAGACAAAGAACATCTCACAGTGGATGATAGAGATAGAGGTTCAAGAAGTTTGAACATTTTAAAATGATTTCATGGCTTTCGAGAAATATTCTCAAGAATATAATTTAATGAATCAAATGAGGATATCGGTATCAAATTTATGATGAAATTTAAGGTTCATCGACTACCATAGAAGGCTAGATTTTATATTACATGATATGATTGTTATAATCAATTGACTTGGTCATTTTTTTTTTTGAAATATAGTTACAATATTCCACATAAAAATGGTGTTTGCAATTTAATTACACGATAATCTATTTATTACGATCGATTAATTGAGTGATTCAATTACGACTTTCTAAAATTAAGTAACCAATAGACTTATTAAGTGGCAGTTGGTGTAATTTACTCAAAATTAAATTAGTGTTCAACGGCAGAAGATTCTTTCTGAAATTTTCATTGGAATCAATAATTTATTGAGTGGGAGAATATGAACAGAATTTGAGAGTTTGATTGGACGTGATATTTTTTTTTTTAAACTTTAGAAACAAAATTATTTATTTGAGAAAAAAATATTTAATATTTTAAAGTAAAGATTAATGTTATTTTGTTATTAGTAATGACGTGTTTCTCAAGGAAAACCTGTTAAAAGAGATGTTTATACGGTGCGATCTCTCAGCTTTGAACAATATGATGAATATTGTACATCTCATATATGTAAACTTCGCAAAACAATCCATGGCCTTGTTAGGGTGCATCAGAAGTCAATTCAGTTTCGATCATCTTAGCTTGGGTCGAATTTTGATGCACCCTAACAAGGACCACTCGGCTAGAGCGAGCCAGACAAGCTTCGAGATATGAATCCGTAAATAAAGTTATCCGAGATCGATATAAATATGTGTAGATACAAGTATTGCACATTACTATAAAACGACCCAAAAGATGAGTAATATGGTGCGACAAAGCATATAATTTCAGTGGAATAAATAAACATGCTGCAATTGATCAATAAATACGACAGGAGCTTTTAAAATCCAAATCATTAACGATTAGAAGCCATCCTATTTGGTAACCTACTAATATCATAGCATTCAAGCACCATAACATCTCTGCTCACATCTTTGCTGGCTTTGGAAAAATGTCGGGTGTGAATTTCTGAGCAGCACTCAAGCTTCCCTTGATCTTCATCGCACCCCTACATCATCAATGGCACTGTGTATTAATTGTCGGACTCAAAAGTCTAAGCAGATTAACATTGCTGACTCCCATGGAATAATAAAGGGAAAAGAAATAGAAATTTGAGATTTTTCACCTCATAAAAGCCATCTGGGTATTCATCTTCCCAGTGGCGACCTTTACAAAGTCGTTGTCTTTGAAGGAAAACGTAGCATCAGGCTTTCCCCCTTCATATTTACCTAATGTTCAGAGCAATAGGTCATTATCAACTTCATAAATCATATTAGTGAAAGAGTGAATGGCTCGTTTAAATCTATTCATTGATGTAATCATGCTTGAATCTCTAAGAGCATGCTACAGAGATAATTTAGTAACCACATGCAAAGTCATGAGAAGCAATTTCAAAAGGCAAAATACTTACTGAAACAAGCGGTATCGCTTATCTTTAACATAAGATCATCTGTTAAAGAGAGTTAGGTAACCAATAACCCCCTAACCTGCTAGTTAGGTGAAATTAATGGATTTTGCCATTGAAAAACTAATAAAGGAAAGAAGGGAAAGCTGAAAAGAAACTAAATAGGATGTGTTGATGGTGAAAAACAACAATGGTGAAGCTATTGAATTAGTTAAATGGGATCTGCTTTGCTACGGTTTTCATAGCGATAGTTGAATACGCAAATAAAGACGATAGAGAAGCTGAGAAGGCATAAGAAAAGGGAAAGATCCCTAATGGCTTCAGAATATAGTTACTGGAAAAGGAGCAATGGTTAACTCGCCAATATCAGAATATGAGAGCTTAAATCCATATAAATTCCATAAGGAAATCTAACATTTTCGATGTGAGATTTAACTCTCACGACATGCAATTATGCACACCTATCACAACGCAATTAAGACACCCCATCGGACGCCACAATGCTTAACTTAATCTAGCTCGGGACATACACTACTATTTCGGCCCCATGATTGGTGTGACACGGTTGCAGCAAGAGATATGGTGCATGGTTTCAACCCCAATTGATGTAATTCTTTGGAAAACAACGCCAGAAAAACTACATATTATACCAGAACTGCTCTAACTAGAAGAATACTTTCGATGTGTGATTCAAGTTTCATACCTTACATATTCACATAACATATAGGTTGCAGAAGATACAAACTTCAAACCCAATTCCATCCTTACAAGTTAGAAAGCTACAATTTATCAACAGGCAGAGCAAAAGAAACAAACCCAAACACCGCTATAATAACAAAAGAAAAGTAAAAAAAAAAAAACAAGAGCAGAATATAATTGCAGAAAAAGGACAACTCCGCTAACGTTAGGTAGCTTCTCCTTTCTTGAGATCAACAACGTAAGAAACCTCATCCATCCCAATTTTCTATAAAAACATAAACAGATCATTAAAATGAAATCGAAAGTGAAGAACAGGGGTTTGGGGGGAGAAATTGAAAAAGCGTTAAGGGTTAACCTTGGGGGCAATATTGATTTGGTAAACGAGGCCAATCTTCTTGATGAGCTATTTACCAGCATCAGAAGCCAAGTGAAGTTTCATCATCTCAAACAAGTAATCGGATTTCAAATCAGTAGTGGCCATTATTACAGAATAAAAATGGAGCAAAATGAAGAAGTGATGAATGAGGGAATTGGGTTTGGATTACTGTTGAAATTGGTTTTTAAAGGCAGTGGAACAAGGTAGTTGACGAGAGAGAATTCAATAGTTTATACGGCTAAAGGATCAGGTAACGCATCCAACGTGACACGCATTTCTATGAAGAACAAATTAAAGAAATGATGTTCATCAAAGTGAACACCCATAACGTCACTTCCATTTCTCTACAAAATTTATATTCATCCACACAATTTAAAGAAATTATATTTTATTAATAATGTTTATTTAAACGCACGAATTAACTAGCTAAAAGAATTATTGTTATTATTAGAGATTATAAATTTAAACATCATAGATTATAAGAGTGTTACTTTTCATTATTAAGTTGTTAAATTTTTTTAAAACATATATTATCTTACATTCACCCTAAACTAATAAAAAATAATATTTATCAAAAGACATCAATAATCTCAATGATATAATTTTTTTTAGAATCACTTTAGATTATAAAAAATTATTAAAAAATAATAAATGCATATTGAATAAAGGTTTTTAACATATTGAGTATTTACTTTAATAGTATGGAGGTATATATGCATAGTAGAAAGTTTTTGAAGTCATAGTGGTTTCAAATTATTTTAAGGGTAAACTACATAAATGACCACTCAACTATGAGGTTTGGTCTCGAAATGACTACCATTTTTAAATTTACGTCAATATGACCATTAGATTATTTAAATGGTTTTAATGTAGTCACATACCGTTAACATTTAACGGAGGTGTTTATGTAACTGATAGAGAAACGACATCAGATGAAGGATTGTTGCTCTTGTCAAAGAATCAAACCTAGAAAGCTCTAGATTCGATCAAAGAACGAGATGGAAGAGATAATTAAAGGGGAGATGACAATTAGGGTTTTAAGAGATTTAGGGTTGTTGGAAATTGATAAAAGGAAATAAGAGTAGGATAATAAATATAAAATAAGAAAATAAAAGAAGACAATGAATATAAAATGATAGAGATACTTAGCCAAAATTGGGGTTTTGGTGGTGATAGGCGATAACAGTGATTTGACGACGATGGAGTTGTGGAAGATGAAAATAGATGGATAATTATCCTATTGAACCCTTCTAGTCGCAATGAAAAGCAAACTCGATAAATGACTCTAACCATCCCTCCTAATCGCAATGAAGAGGCAAACCAGAGTGGGAAGATCTCTCTCACAAAGAACTTGAAAAGAACTTAATGAAAAGAAGCTTTGAAGGAACAAGTAATCAACACTTGCAAAAATAAACTCTCAATGCATTGTATTCAAGAAAAGATTTGATTACAAAGTTGAATAAAAGCCTCCTTAAATAGCTCTAGATAGCTAATGAATAAAAATAATAAAAAACTAAACATGTTCTAATTCTATTTCCTACTAAATAATAATAAACTAATAATAATGTTTTAATGTGATCTTAATTCCTAATAAAATAATAAATTTAATCTTAAAAGATAATGCATCATCCTATATTAAATTATATTACAAATAATCATAAAAATATTAAAAGTACGTAATAATTACAAAATCTCGTATTAATTTTGTACAGGAATTTATGCATGCAATGTCATCACTAAAACGAGCATATTTTGAGTTCCTGATATCAGATTGACACGATTCAATAACCTTTGGAAAGCTAAGAGACATTCACTTATAACTTTAGAAGACATGTTAACCAAATAATACCAGGATCTAATTCATAAAGTTGTCGCAAGTCTATTGTTATTTTGATATTCTTTTCAAAGGTTTGATCGCGTTAATCAATTGTAAGCGTTAGTCCATCTTCCTTTGATGTGAGCCTTGTGATGCATGTATCAGTAATGCCCCAAATCCTAGGTTAGGAGTCTCGATCTAAACCGTAAGGGCCTTAGGTAAACCCATTAGCTTTGTGTAAAGCCTTGATCCAAGAGGGTGAGAATTTGGGCTTGGGTTAACCCTAAAATAAAAAAAAAGATATTTTTAGTCTCATGAGAAAAGATGAAGGACTAAAAAGGCTAATATTCCATCTTCTAAAACAAGGATTTATTCATATTTATGTTTGATGATATCACGTCTGAGTTCCTTTTTGTTTTCCCCACGCTCGCTTGGCTTCTTCCTATTTCTCATCTCATTCTTCCTCTCCAAGTATCAATAAAATGTTGGAACTTTGTGATCTTGCAAGTCCAATTTGTAAACACCAAGGTAAGAGTTCTAATCCATTCCTCACTAGCTTTCATTCAAGCATTTAAAATTAAGATTTGGTCAAGTGACCCTAAATAGAGGTTTAAGGGGGTTTATGAAACCATAGATCACAACTCAATTTTTTTTATAGATTTAAGTTTAAGGAAATATTCCTAACCTCATCTTAAATAGGTTAATAAAACATTTTCTTTGTCGTGATTAGTGAAAGAGATTGGAGAAAGTTTCAAGACCAAAGGCAAGGAAAAGTTGGTTCTTGGTTGAAATAGGACGTTTTGCAGTAGCCTAGCACAAAGATAACACATTTCTAACTTGTCTATACCATATGTAGTTCATTAGATGTGCATGGTTGGTTAGTTTAGTTCATGAAGCATGCCCAAGCGTTTTCATGTTGAATTTCATTTGTAATATTTTTAAGCATGAAAGGTGACTCCTTTTAACCTCTAATAACTCACATAAGACTTAAACATTACTTTGGTGGCCTTAGGAAGGTGAATAGGTAGGGTCTCGGGTATATTTTTATTCCCAAAATAGGGTATTCTAGGTCTGAATATCGGTACTGGAGGAATAATACCGATAATATTATTTAGATGGTTCAAAATAAGGCATCTGGGGGTCAAGAGTATCGATACTAGTTCATAGAGAGTCACTATTTTAGGGTATCAATACTCATAGAGGTGTATCAATACCAATTTTTATAGTTGTATTCCAGTAGGCCATTTTGGTACAGATACTCAATGGAGTATCCATACCATAAAGAGGGTATTAATACCCTAAATAAATGTATCGATACTCATCTTTATTTCCAAACATCAAACCAAAAAATTTGTATCGATACCAAGGGAAGTATCAATACTTCAGCTCGTAAGTATTGAACCCTAAGTAGTGTATTAGTACCCTCATCATGATTTGGATAAGAAATCCTTTTAAGTTAAATATTCGGGTAAAAGGGGTCTAGAGTTGCCTGAACATATGAAATAAGACTACAAAAGATAACATCTGTAACACCCCATACCTGATTATGAAGAAATGCCCAAATACCTGAGCGTACATTAAGTTTTGATCTTGTCGGAAAAAACAAAATCCTAATCATGTGCATTATGTGAAAGCATTCAAATTTAAAAACATATATCATGCAACATGTGGCAAAAAAAATATCAATAATAAACTAACATTACTTAAAAATCAAAACGTTACAAAATCTAATTCATCAACCAAATAAGGGTTAAACAATCATTTCACATAAACAATTTCAATGTAAATTACATAATTATTCTTACTAATATTCATAATTAATCCTTAATTAATGACATGCAAATTTCCAAATTAATCGGATATCAAATAGGGACTTAATTGAATATACATTTTTAGGGACTAAAACATAAATAATTCAAAAGTTGCGTACCTTCAGCAAACATGCAATTGACACTTCCATTATGTAATTAGGTATATTAAAGTGTGACAACTCAAGTCTCAATAAATTTCAAGTTAAGGTCTAATATTAATTAACAAATCAATTTTAGGACCATTCTAAACTTAAACAAACATTTTGAGGTCAAACTAATACTTAGGGACACATGACCTATAATGAATGCAATTTTACCATTTTTTTCATCGAGCACATAGACAAGAAATCAATCGTTTTTCACGGGGGATAAATCATTTGCAAAACATAAAGTTTGAGATCGATCATTCTAGCCAAGAGATCAATCATTTTTAAAAAGAGATCGATCATTTCCCCTAAAAGAGTCGATTATTTTTCTGGAAAAGTGCAGAATCCTTAAGAATATGCATAAACGAGTTATCAAACCACATAATCAATCCTATGGACTAGATACATGCTTGGATAGTTTCATACCACTTCATATATATGACACAAGTCACGACATCATACAAGGATTTGGCACCAAAAGTTGAACATTGCATAAAAGTTCATTTTTAACACAAGTCACCTAGTCCAATTATGCATTTTGGATCATTTCATGCATCCTGTGAGTCTAATAAGTTTAGTACACTTAGTGTCACTTGTCTGTACACATCAAACACTTCTTTAAGGTACCAATTAACATTTGGCTATTTTCATGATCAATTCAACCAATAACATGCATTAAACATTTCCAAAACAACAAATCAAACCAATTAAAAATCTCTAACACAAAACTAATGGTCCACAAAAAATTCACACTCATTATAACTCAACATAGTAACAAATGTCTAGGTCCCAAAATTATTCCCACATTACCATCACATGGATTTGAACCACATACACTTTATTTAGAAATGCCTTGGTTGACCACTCTGAATACTAGCTTCCCACCTCTGACGCGGCTACTAATCCTGTGAAAAGTGTTTAACAATGAGTGTGAGCTAAAAAGCCTAGTGAACAACTAACATTATAAGTTATGTACATATCAAAGCTAAAGGAAAACCATATATACAATCACACCTCACTTGTTTTTACCTCAACATTCATATCATCATGTCATATTTTTGTGTTCACATATTACACACTAAATGCACATAAAATCCAAAATATTCGTATGTATCTTATTCTTGTATATCCAGTAGCAAACACATACAGTCACGCACAATTACCTCTTTAGCAAGTCACACACATTGCACACATTATCTCAATTAAAGATCAATGACCTTTTGTTTGAAACACAACTCACTCATTAGATAAACAAACTTCATACAACCCCCTTTTTACTTTGGAATAAAGCTCAATGCACCAACCTTACCCCGTAATCTTTTCGAAGCATAGCTCAACGCATCAACCTTACCCCGTATAACCCCGATATCAAATACACTTATATAAAACACTTAGAGTACTCTTTTCTAGGCATGTATTTCATATCCAAAGGTTTCATTAAGAATAAATAGCTAATT